TTAAAATAAAAGATTTGCGAGGGTGGACGCAAAATGGTGAAATTGGGAATAATTTTGAGATAGCATCTCTCTCGGACGGTACCTTTCAATTTCTTTATATGTTTGCAAATTCGTTATTTTTTGTTTCATTCGACGATGTAAGTTATGGCCACGACTGAGCACGAATCGGAAATAATGTATTGAGTTGTACGGGGTTTATGGAGCGATTATTAAATCTGTATAAAATACAATCTAATCACTAATACAAAACTTTCTAAAAAGTAGTCTTTAAGTACTAAATTTTGCACTTAGTAGTCCAATTTAACATTTATTTTTCTAACAAATACTTTTCTCGAACCTTCCATGAAGCAATTCACTTTCTCTATTTTGTCGGAGTTTCTTAATTTACAATTACATTTTAAAAACCAACCTTTTCCCGAGACTATCCGCGCAGAATTAAAAAAGATAAATAGACTATGTTTTTTAGAAGATGTTTACCTGTGCTAAATATCGAGAACCGTTAAGCAGTTTTAAAGATACATAACAGTTTTAAAGTAACAAACATTCATCTAAACTTTCAACATTTATAACAATACGAAGTATAAAATATATTATTATGAATAGTATGATATTATTAATAAATAATCAACCAGCTCAATGCACGTCTGAAGGGCTCGTAGCCCCTTAGTCAGCGTCTAGGTCTTAGTTAACACGCTAGCCCAGTATTACGAATATAGTCACATAAGAATCACATTTCTTCTTTTACTTTCTTCATATTAAAAGCGTAACGAGCGTAATGTGAACAAAAAATAAAAGTATTATAATACTGTTTTGACATTATGAGTTCGACTGTTCTAAATATGCTTGTGATTTATCGGATCCCAAGCAATCAGCAGTAGACGAGTGCAAATTAGAAAGCTTAGAGCCGATTAAACTGGCGATAGTAAGAACTACACGGATATACATTTGTCTGGATGTGGCATAAAATTTCTATTTTAAAAAGTATCTAAATTAATTCAAGCTATTCAATTGTAAAGTCTCATTTTAGAACCCTTTCTTTTGTCGCGAAGAAGAGGATGGTAAGAGGATTTGGATTTGACAGAGGAGGGGTTGCATAGTAAAGGGAAGTATTCTCTTGTACGCATCCGCAATTAAGGATGTCTAAGCACGTCGCTTCCTTGTTTTGGTTTATTTACCACTTTATGATATAAAATGTACTGTTTATGCATTACAACATATCTTCTATTTCTCATAGAACGTCCATCTCTTTCATGTAATAAAAAATGAGCAAACGTGACGCGATTTTAAAATCTCGTTGTCGATTAACGATGCACTATTAAGTAATCTTGACATTCATATTAAAATAATGTTAATCAAGACATCTTATTAACAGGATAAGTGATGAATAAATTCTTTAATAATTCGAATGACGCGTCCATTGTTACAAGTTCCTTGTCACCTAGTTACCGGTCCGACCCCGGCTCAATATCACGATGTATCAATAATGATTTGTCAAAATCTTACGCCGCTCCAGTTTCATTATTTTAATTGGAATACATTGCTGCATTATTATATTAAAGTATAGCCTGGATTTTGTTAACGTGATACATTAAGGGCAATGGGTGTAGACCATTAATAAAATTCCCTAGAGACTACAAGTAGTAACAGTAAAGATTTTTATGTATAAAAAAACAGCTTTAATATTACTATCGCAACTTTATAATAATCAGTATTCTATACCAAGAAAAAGAAGGTACGATTTGTATTTTTGTATATCGAATTAACTCAAAGACTACTGGGCTTATTTTAATAATTCTTTCACCATTAAAAAGTTACGTTATCAGTGAGTAACATTGGCTACATTTTTGTTATTTTTTTAACATCACGCGGATAAAGTCGCGAGCAGCAGCTAGTCATACTAATCATACCTACTCCATACTAATTTATAAATGCGAAAGTTTAGATGGATGGATGTTTGTTAGAGTTTGTAGCCTACACTACTGAATGGATTTCGATGAAATTTTGTACAGAAGTACAGTATAGTCTGGAAGAACACATAGGCTACTCACTTTTGTTTTTTTTATCCGCGCGGACGG